CAATATTTAGGTCAAGTTAGTGAGACTAACTTATCATAATCTTATTCAGTTGTACTTGGTGGTGAGTCATTCACCACACTGCTTAGGGAGGACGTCTTCGGTTTGATAAAACATACTTGTCAATAAATCTTTGTGGCTTTTTTCTCAAAACATATTTCTTATTTTTATTAGGCAAGAAGTAATAATATATATTTTTTAAATCTTCTGTTCAAATAAAACAGAACATAATGTCTTTAGCCTATCACCATCAGGCTATAAATTAAGGATGCTACTAATCATGTAATTATTTTACCAACATGTTCATACAAAACATGGTTTCCTAGACACTTGGTTGGAAGTTAAGGAATGATGAGTCAGTGAGTGAGTAAGACAGAACTCTGTTAGGAATATTACAGGAATATAACAGCGGGGGACCAACAAACAGGCAGAGCTTCTTGCTCTGTTGGGAATCAAACCCAAGTCTTTGATGAGTTGATTGAACACTATATTTACCATTAGAGGGCTCCCCTACCCAAAGGTTTAACTAGACCTGCTGGGGCGGGATAAAATATATATCAACTTCATGTTGATATTATATATAGATTGCAATGTCCAAATACAATCTCAAAATGCCTCTGAATTTAAGATTGAATCCCATTTTCGATTAATCTGGTAATTTTGGATAAATCCTTGCTACCACACTGTACATGTTAAGGGCACCAAATTTATGTTTATAACAAGTCAAAACATATTAGGTACACAGTTTGTGCTGGGAGTCATAATTGTTATGAGTTTTATGAAGCGTATTCAGAGTCGCTTCAAGTCTCCCGTTAACTCCATATTCTGTGGTGTATTCATTCGCCATCAAGGTCGATTCAGGTAAAATTTATAAAATAAGAAATTGTTTTAAGTTAGTGAATTCATTGTTTGTTGTTAAAGGTCCCGTACCCATTCAAACAAAAAGGTGAATTGTATTGATCTGAACAAATAATCCGTTCCTGAAATGCTGGCAAAAAATAATTTTTCGTCAGATTTACAATCAATAACACTGGGCATGGAACTGGACAAAGAAGAACAAATTTCTACTCAAACAAAAAATCCCCCTGCCAAAGAATATGGTTGGGATCTTACATAGATACAAACAAAGATAATAACTTCCTTTCACAAGCTTGTTACCTTGACAACGTGCCCAATCCTTGTTATCAAAGGGGAAGCAATTACCTCAAGCAATGTTATAATTTGTCATTGGCTTACATCGTAAAGGAAGATTTCAAACTGTATCATGGTTCAAGGATGGTCCAAACATATTTGGTTCAAGGGAATCTCAGTTCCCACCAATTGTTCTCCAAGTATTAGTCGTAACATATGGACTTTCATTGGGTGAGATTACTCGCCCGATTAAAATAAGTCTTGTGGCTGAAGTTGCAGACTGGATGTCATCTGCACAGATTATTCTTGGAGCGACATATACAAGATTATACACTAGGTGTGATATTCTACCAGTTATTCCCCATTAGCTAACCTGACAGGGTCACTAGCCATACAGGCTTGTACAGATATAAACATCCACTTGCACAGGACTACAAAGAGATATTGGGACATTTTTAACATTTCAGTCAATGGCCCCCTATGGACCATTAGCTGAAACACTGAGAGAAGATTTTTTCAGATAAAAGTGAATTTTGGACGCATAATAAAAATAATAATTGCAAAATAACATTACAAAAAAGTGACCTCATGTTATATTTAACAATATTTGACAAAGTAATACCAAGGAATCCGAATAACAGCATAAACAAAATAGTATGAATAAGGGAGTGTAAACAATACAGCGTAAAACAAGGGAGTGTAAACAATATAGTGTAAAACAAGGGAGTGTAAACAATATAGTGTAAAACAAGGGAGTGTAAACAATATAGTGTAAAACAAGGGAGTGTAAACAATACAGCGTAAAACAAGGGAGTGTAAACAATATAGTGTAAAACAAGGGAGTGTAAACAATATAGTGTAAAACAAGGGAGTGTAAACAATATAGTGTAAAACAAGGGAGTGTAAACAATATAGTGTAAAACAAGGGAGTGTAAACAATATAGTGTAAAACAAGGGAGTGTAAACAATATAGTGTAAAACAAGGGAGTGTAAACAATATAGTGTAAAACAAGGGAGTGTAAACAATATAGTGTAAAACAAGGGAGTGTAAACAATATAGTGTAAAACAAGGGAGTGTAAACAATATAGTGTAAAACAAGGGAGTGTAAACAATATAGTGTAAAACAAGGGAGTGTAAACAATATAGTGTAAAACAAGGGAGTGTAAACAATATAGTGTAAAACAAGGGAGTGTAAACAATATAGTGTAAAACAAGGGAGGGTAAACAATATAGTGTAAAACAAGGGAGTGTAAAGGAGATAGTGTAAATCAAGGGAGGGTAAACAAGATAAACAAGGTAGTGTAAACAAGGGAGTGTAAACAAGATAAACAAGGCAGTGTAAACAAAATAATTAAGGTAGTGTAAAGAGGATAAAGAGAGTGTAAACAAAGTAGTGTAAAGGAGATAGAGTCAAGAAGATAGTGTAAACAAGGAAGTGTAAACAATATAGTGTAAACAAGACAAACAAGATAGTGTAAACAAGACAAACAAGATAGTGTAAACAAGATAAACAAGATAGTGTAAACAAGACAAACAAGGTAGTGTAAACAAGATAAACAAGGTAGTGTAAACAAGGTAGTGTAAACAGATAGTGTAAACAAGACAAACAAGATAGTGTAAACAAGACAAACAAGGTAGTGTAAACAAGGTAGTGTAAACAGATAGTGTAAACAAGACAAACAAGATAGTGTAAACAAGACAAACAAGATAGTGTAAACAAGACAAACAAGATAGTGTAAACAAGACAAACAAGGTAGTGTAAACAAGATAGACAAGGTAGTGTAAACAAGGTAGTGTAAACAGATAGTGTAAACAAGACAAACAAGATAGTGTAAACAAGACAAACAAGATAGTGTAAACAAGACAAACAAGATAGTGTAAACAAGACAAACAAGGTAGTGTAAACAAGGTAGTGTAAACAGATAGTGTAAACAAGACAAACAAGATAGTGTAAACAAGACAAACAAGGTAGTGTAAACAAGGTAGTGTAAACAGATAGTGTAAACAAGACAAACAAGATAGTGTAAACAAGACAAACAAGATAGTGTAAACAAGACAAACAAGGTAGTGTAAACAAGATAGACAAGGTAATGTAAACAAGATAGACAAGGTAATGTAAACGGATAGTGTAAACAAGGCAGTATAAACAGGTAATGTAAACAAGGTAGTGTAAACAAGATAAACAACGTAGTGTAAACAAATAGTGTAAACAAGGAAGTGTAAATATGTTGTAAAGAAGATAGTGTAAACAAGGTAAACAAGGTAGTGTAAACAAAACAGTGTAAACAGATAACAGTAACACACTGCGCAGACCACTTGAGAAATAGGGTGTTACTCTAGCCAGCTTATCGTAACCAATCAATACCAGTTGATAAGACTGCATGTTGAGATCACAGTGCATCAGTATGTGACATGTTACTTTGCAGCTTAAATGGCACCAAGTTGTTCATGAAATTGTATGCTATGATCTACAATCCAGACACACTAATCGTAAACCACCTTAATAGACCTACTATCAACAGTGGGTAACCAATATAGCCTTGTTGTCCACAACAAGGATGACTCACTGCTTGATCAAAATAGCTCTTCTACTTCTGCTAGACTCTATGACACCTTAAAGTTTCGCCAATCTCATTGGTCCACGCCACAATACTTCAATTTAGTATTTTTAATTTTCTTAAAAAAACTGACTTGAATAGAGCCCTGAAAAATACCATGGCCTTCAGCTCTTTATAAAACAATGATTGATGAAAAAATCTGTGTCTGATTCTTACAACTCAACTAACAAACTTCAACAAAGGAAATAACAGTAATTTTCAAAATATTTCATCACTTGATGCTGTGAGTGAATGAGTGAGTTGGGTTTAATGATGCTTTGAATAGCCATTAGTATGTTGAGAAAATTCTACAGTGAGTGAGTGAGTGAGTGAGTGAGTATGGTTTTACGCCGCTTTTAGCAATATTCCAGCAATATCACGGCGGGGGACACCAGAAATAGGCTTCACACATTGTACCCATGTTGGGAATGGAACTCGAGTCTTCGGCGTGACGAGCAAATGCTTTAACCACAAGGCTACCCGACCGTTTACACTTCCTTTTTACACTCCCTTGTTTACACTATCTTCTTTACACTCCCTTGTCATTATGGCTGGGACGATACACCAACTGTGCAATCTGATACGTATCATGACACCTTACTCATGATCCTATACGTATCACGATACATGCATGTGCTCTTATCTGTGGTGCGTAAGCCATCTTTTTCATAGACAGGATTGCCAAATACCTGGCACACTGACGATTTACACTTTCACTACTAATTAGTGCTTGATGTAACAGTTCTTAAAGCAAACATTTAAGGTAAGAATCAATATTTTTTACCTAATGTCCGACTGTGATCGATAAAAATCGCCATCACCGATGCATTAGTGTATTGTCCCACCACTACTAGTCATGTGGTTAAACCTTGTCACACCAAAGATCCACGTTCAATTCCCAATATGTATACATGTGTGAAGCACATTCTTGGTGTCACCCTCCATGATAGGATCCCTAGGGCATGCCAGAAACCTAGGATAGTGGGTTTGAATCCCGGTTTGCCCCGATTATGTTTCTAGGTTTGTCAGCACCCTACCCATGCTAGTGGGTTTCACCGAAGTGGTAAACTTCTGAGACCTGCATCACTTTGGGCTTTCCTCCCACATTAAGCTGACACGCCGTGATATAACTTGAATACTGTTAAAAGCGGTGTTAAACCCAACTCACCCACTCATTCCATGATAGGACTGCAGTCATGCTGAAAGGAACATTACACCCATTCCCAGTTACCTGGTCCCTCATAAAGACGAAAAAAATGAACTGTGTGACTTACACGAACTTGACAGCCTGCAGCACTGAGGGGTCCGGGGTGGGCATCCCGTGTACAGGGAGGGGCAGGCGGGACAGGGGGTGGCGGCAGATGAAGGTCACGGTCTGGTTCTCAGTAGCATGTGTTACAGCACATTGAAACAGCAGGCTTGTCTTACCCCTGTGGAAGACAGACATATTACATACACAACACTCGTACAGGTCTTATTCCTGTGTTCTAATGCTTGTGGGACTCACCTATTGGTCATGTCTGGAAGCCACTCATTGGTCATTCATCATGTTTATGGAAGACACCCATTGGTCATGTTTATGGAAGACACCCATTGGTCATCTTTATGGAAGACACCCATTGGTCATGTTTATGGAAGACACCCATTGGTCATCTTTATGGAAGACACCCATTGGTCATGTTTATGGAAGACACCCATTGGTCATCTTTATGGAAGACACCCACTGGTCATCTTTATGGCAGACACCCACTGGTCATCTTTATGGCAGACACCCACTGGTCATCTTTATGGCAGACACCCATTGGTCATCTTTAAGGAAGACACCCATTGGTCATCTTTATGGAAGACACCCATTGGTCATCTTTATGGAAGACACCCATTGGTCATCTTTATGGAAGACACCGATTGGTCATTTGTCATGTTTGTGGAAGACACCCATTGGTCATGTTTATGGAAGACACTCATTGGTCATCTTTATGGAAGACACCCACTGGTCATTTGTCATGTTTGTGGAAGACACCAATTGGTGTTGTTTATGGAAGACACCCACTGGTCAACTGGTCAACAGATAGGGAGGGAATCCTTTACCATGTTTACTGGTGACCTTACAACAGGTGGGATGTAGGCACAGCTTACAGAAAAAATCCTTTACCATGCTTACTGGTGAGCCAACAACAGATGGGAGGTAGACAGCTTACAGAAAAATCCTTTAACATGTTTACTGGTGAGCTTACAATAGATGGGAGGTAGAGAGCTTGCAGAGAAATCCTTTACCATGTTTACTGGTGAGCTTACAATGGATGGGAGGGAGGCACAGCTTACAGTGAAATCCTTTACCATGTTTACTGGTGAGCTTACGATAGATGCGAAGTAGAGAGCTTACAGAGAAATCCTTTAACATGTTTACTGGTGAGCTTACAATAGATGGGAGGTAGAGAGCTTACAGAGAAATCCTTTACCATGTTTACTGGTGAGCTAACAACAGGTGGGAGGTAGGCACAGCTTACAGAGAAATCCTTTAACATGTTTACTGGTTAGCTTAAAATAGATGGGAGGTAGAGAGCTTGCAGAGAAATCCTTTACCATGTTTACTGGTGAGCTAACAACAGGTGGGAGGTAGGCACAGCTTACAGAGAAATCCTTTAACATGTTTACTGGTAAGCTAACAATAGATGGGAGGTAGGCACAGCTTACAGAGAAATCCTTTAACATGCTTACTGGTGAGCTAACAACAGATGGGAGGTCGTGAGCTTACAGAGAAATCCTTTAACATGTTTACTGGTGACCTTACAACAGATAGGAGGCAGAGCTTACAGAGAAATCCTTTACCATGTTTCCTGGTGACCTTACAACAGATAGGAGGCAGAGCTTACAGAGAAATCCTTTACCGTGTTTACTGGTGACCTTACAACAGATGGGAGGGAGGCAGGGCTTACAGAGAAATCCTTTACCATGTTTACTGGTGACCTTACAACAGATAGGAGGCAGAGCTTACAGAGAAATCCTTTACCGTGTTTACTGGTGACCTTACAACAGATGGGAGGGAGGCAGGGCTTACAGAGAAATCCTTTACCATGTTTACTGGTGACCTTACAACAGATAGGAGGCAGAGCTTACAGAGAAATCCTTTACCATGTTTACTGGTGACCTTACAACAGGTGGGAGGGAGGCAGGGCTTACAGAGAAATCCTTTACCATGTTTACTGGTGACCTTACAACAGATAGGAGGCAGAGCTTACAGAGAAATCCTTTACCATGTTTACTGGTGAGCTAACAACAGGTGGGAGGTAGGCACAGCTTACAGAGAAATCCTTTAACATGTTTACTGGTTAGCTTAAAATAGATGGGAGGTAGAGAGCTTGCAGAGAAATCCTTTACCATGTTTACTGGTGAGCTAACAACAGGTGGGAGGTAGGCACAGCTTACAGAGAAATCCTTTAACATGTTTACTGGTAAGCTAACAATAGATGGGAGGTAGGCACAGCTTACAGAGAAATCCTTTAACATGCTTACTGGTGAGCTAACAACAGATGGGAGGTCGTGAGCTTACAGAGAAATCCTTTAACATGTTTACTGGTGACCTTACAACAGATAGGAGGCAGAGCTTACAGAGAAATCCTTTACCATGTTTCCTGGTGACCTTACAACAGATAGGAGGCAGAGCTTACAGAGAAATCCTTTACCGTGTTTACTGGTGACCTTACAACAGATGGGAGGGAGGCAGGGCTTACAGAGAAATCCTTTACCATGTTTACTGGTGACCTTACAACAGATAGGAGGCAGAGCTTACAGAGAAATCCTTTACCGTGTTTACTGGTGACCTTACAACAGATGGGAGGGAGGCAGGGCTTACAGAGAAATCCTTTACCATGTTTACTGGTGACCTTACAACAGATAGGAGGCAGAGCTTACAGAGAAATCCTTTACCATGTTTACTGGTGACCTTACAACAGGTGGGAGGGAGGCAGGGCTTACAGAGAAATCCTTTACCATGTTTACTGGTGACCTTACAACAGATAGGAGGCAGAGCTTACAGAGAAATCCTTTAACATGTTTACTGGTGACCTTACAACAGATGGGAGGGAGGCAGGGCTTACAGATAAATCCTTTACCACGTTTACTGGTGACCTTACAACAGATAGGAGGCAGGGCTTACAGAGAAATCCTTTACCATGTTTACTGGTGACCTTACAACAGATAGGAGGCAGAGCTTACAGAGAAATCCTTTAACATGTTTACTGGTGACCTTACAACAGATGGGAGGGAGGCAGGGCTTACAGATAAATCCTTTACCACGTTTACTGGTGACCTTACAACAGATAGGAGGCAGGGCTTACAGAGAAATCCTTTACCATGTTTACTGGTGACCTTACAACAGATGGGAGGGAGGCAGGGCTTACAGAGAAATCCTTTACCGTGTTTACTGGTGAGCTTACAATAGATGTGAGGTAGAGAGCTTACAGAGAAATCCTTTAATGTGTTTACTGGTGACCTTACAACAGATGGGAGGGAGGCAGAGCTTACAGAGAAATCCTTTACCGTGTTTACTGGTGACCTTACAACAGATGGGAGGGAGGCAGAGCTTACAGAGAAATCCTTTACCGTGTTTACTGGTGACCTTACAACAGATGGGAGGGAGGCAGAGCTTACAGAGAAATCCTTCACCATGTTTACTGGTGACCTTACAACAGATGGGAGGGAGGCAGAGCTTACAGAGAAATCCTTTACCGTGTTTACTGGTGACCTTACAACAGATGGGAGGGAGGCAGATCTTACAGAGAAATCCTTTACCATGTTTACTGGTAAGCTAACAGATGGGAGGGAGGCAGAGCTTACAGAGAAATCCTTTACTATGCTTACTGGTGAGCTTACAATAGATGTGAGGTAGAGAGCTTACAGAGAAATCCTTTAACATGTTTACTGGTGACCTTACAACAGATAGGAGGCAGAGCTTACAGAGAAATCCTTTACCATGTTTACTGGTGAGCTTACAATAGATGGGAGGCAGGGCTTACAGAGAAATCCTTTACCGTGTTTACTGGTGACCTTACAACAGATGGGAGGGAGGCAGAGCTTACAGAGAAATCCTTTAACATGTTTACTGGTGACCTTACAACAGATGGGAGGGAGGCAGATGACATGAGTCCTCCAGGTCACCAGAGCTCCAGACAAGCTGTGAATTTGCGTAAATAGGCAAACTGAATCACCATTACCCAATTAATTTTGAGTTGTTTGCGTACAAATACGTATGAATAAATTTAAAATCCCAAAGTATAACACTCTGTGTAACTACCTGATGTATCCTTTTGAACTTGTCTGCATGCATTCCTTGACAAATCTTTATTGACTGATAGAGTGCAGGCACCACACACACATGAACTCGCTGCAGTGAATAATGCATACAAAAGTGATGTGTCTCTTATCGTAAACAGGCATGTATATCCCTGTTGTGAGTTTATTCTGACATGTTAGACACTTGGTGCAGCACACGGACAGATACAAATTGGAAGTCACCAGAAACAATATTTCAAGCAGAATTATTCAAAACAAATGGCTACTCATTGACATAAAAGTACCCAGTAGACAGAACCAAGGGGAGGAAAATATACTTAACACCCAAAGAAAACTACCCAAACCCAATGTGAACGATAAAATGTGAAAAAAGTTATCTGTTGCCGTGGGTCAGGTAACCCACTGACAGCGAAAACCATGAGTCTGGATCAGAAACATAAGGCCTGGGGATATGTATCCCAGAAATGGAGGCTCATATACTTCTTAATTGGTCAGTGGTCCAGAACCCGTCAATGCCATGCACTTGTGACACTTGGCTATCAATCAAAATATGTTCTTGACCTTCAAGTAAAATTTCAGTGATCCATTTAGCATTGACAATTAACTTGCACTTGTGATGACAACAGGTCAACTGGTACACACATCACGTCTGCTTGCAGATTGAAGGGAGATAACTCTTCCAGCATCATGCAGCTTCACTGTTCACATTAACACATGTGCCCCGAAGCATCATGCCATTTCAAGGATACAAAAATACATTTGTTTTAATTGATTCCTAAAGAATTAACAACTGTTGAGCATGAAAAAGAATTAAAGACAGGGGTCAAAAGGTCAAGGTCCATACATTCAGGGATGATATGTTCAGGTGAGGTGAATCGAAAAGGGGTCTAATGACCCTTTCAAGATTATTGCGTTCACCTAGAAAAAGCGTGTGTGTATGTGTGTGTGCGCGCGTGCATGCTTGTCTAGTCTAAACTATAGCGGCTTTTATGGTGCTAGTCTCGGCCACAGTTTAACATGGATACCCGAATTCGACACAGTATACTAACTCCGAGCTGACCAGCCCCTTAATGCCAACCACCAGACAGGTAACAACTAGTACCATCTTTTAATGTCTAGGTATGACGCAGCCAGGGATTGAACCCCAACCTTCCCTTTTCTGGACAGACGCTCTACTCTCTAGAGTGAGTGAGTTTGGTTTTACGCCTCTTTTAGCAATATTCCAGCACGGCGGGGGACACCAGAAATGGGCTTCACACATTGTACCCATGTCGGGATTCGAACCCGGGTCTTCGGCGTGATGAGCGAACGCTTTAACCACTAGGCTACCCGACCGCCCCCTTTTCTCTAGACCACAGAGGCAGTCTCATATTATATTATTTAAACTTGGGGTGATAGTTGCATTTCAAAAGGAAAGTACAGATGTAAAAAAAACTGCAAGTATTCTGGTGGAAGAAACTAGGAGCATCTATATAATTATTCCTTTTATAGTCCATCAAATTTGATCACCATGAGTCTCAATATACAACAAAAGTAATAACAAGTGGAGCCATCAAACAGCAATACGTTCTTTAGATAACTGACAGACAGACAAGCTTATTCAATGAAAAGCCTGAGGCCCATAATACACACACGAAAGAGTCATTTCATAGGTGAAAGTATTTTTCATCAATCAGGCCACACATTATTTATTTTTCGTTTGCCTGCTCTCCTACTGAAAAGCAGCTTGAAAAGAAATAAATTAAATGTGAAAATATTTATTTTTATTATGTCTCTCGCAAGTAATTTTGACCCTTAATAAAAAATGTTATACAGAAATTCCATATCTACATGTCTGTGATTCAAGTAGCCACCTGCAGTTTTAACTCCACTACAGATTGATTTTTATATGGAAAAGCTGGAATAAATCTGTGTAACATAAAATTTATAATGTTAATAAGGAGTAAAAATGACTCACAATGTTTACCCAGCTTGTCCTGCAGTTTCTCTATTGTATGATGGTAGGGGCTGGGGTAATATATCATAAGATCGTATTTCCAGTTGTCAGTGTTCCTGTTCACCAGTAATTTCAAGTTTTTTACCGCTAAAATGAAGCTTGGACCGGTAACTCATGTGACTGCCAGTCCCATTTGGACCAGCAATAAAGTACCTCATAAATCTTCGTTGTTGAACAAAACATTGGCGATATTCATATAAGTATAGTTTTCGAACAAAGTCAGCTTGTCTGTTACCATCAGGGTTTCCCATAATCTATTTTTAGTGCAAGTAAATGACATTTTGCTTTGCTTCACGGTTAAATTTATATTTGTTGCAACTTAGTCTTGAAATAATTAAAACCAGGTAATTTTCATATGTTTTTTCATGTTAAAAGTTGGGTCTGACAAATTTAAGGGGGGGGACTGGTAACTGTTGGAGTTGCCAGTCCACCAGAACTGAAAGTTTCAAAAGCCAGCAGGGGCACTGGTTATATATTAGGGTCAGCCATATCACCTGTGGTTTCTTTTGGTGGAGAATCCAAACTGACCTGCTAGTTTGTGGATAATTACAACTCAGGCGAAACCCTAGACTAACATCTAGTCTCTGAAATGAACATATCGTACAGAAAAAAACCAGTTGTTCAGTTATCTTAATAAAAATATAATAAAAAGGAGCCCAGTGACTCTCTTCATTTTCAGATACTGCAGTGATCTAGACTTGCCAAACATTATAGACTTGCATGGGCTGTATTTGATATATATTTGTATCAGGGTCTGTAAGACAGACAAGCGAAACCCATGTATGGTGGTCACAAACCAAGTTTCATATAAATCTGGGATGGAAACCGTTGACCAGCAGAACATGGCACTAACTCTGAATGAAAGGGCAATGTCAATGTCTTCTCTCTAAATGTAAGACAGACTGCTGTTAGAACTAATAGAGTGTTGGTCATAACAATCCCACCTGAACAAGAGTTACACAGAATAATTCCACTTACACTGCTGAACTGCCAGTAACAATTACTCCTGACGGCTTATCCTGGGCCATCTTCTTGACCTGGTCAAGGTCAGCGTGTGTGGGCAGCATCCATGGGGACGTCATGGGGAACATGTTGAATAGTGCCATGTTGTAATCTGTCCACCTTGGGAAAAAAAGAATCTCATCTTTCTATGCAGGTTTCTGAATTGATACGTAACAAACATTTTGTTTGACACTAGACTGAAATACTCACTTATATTTTTTTTTCATTCTGTGACTTTACTGAGCAACTGAAATATGTTTTGTTCATTGTACCTGGTCAGTCAGTTTTCTGATCATGTTTGTGGAAAATGTCTGTTTTGAACAGTATTCTTAAAAGGACACCACCTAAAAGTCCATTAAGACATCTTTAACATGGGACAAAATGACAGGCTATCATGAACTTCTTTCCCTGAATGAGTAAGTGAGAATGGTTTTACACCGCTTTTAGCAATATTCCAGCAATATCACAACAGGGGACACCAGATATGGGCTTCACACATTGTACCCATGTGGGGCATCAAACCCATGTCTTCAGCGTGACGAGTGAACGCTTTAACCACAAGGCTACCCCACCGCCCCCCTTTCCCTGAAAGTGATGCAAGTCGTACCAAGCCAGACAAATATTAATGGGACTGAATCTGGTATTTTAACCCAAGACCAACAGATCATGGCAGTGCATAAATCTAATTGCAGAGATCTCAAATAAGGGTACTCCAAGATTATTTACAGGCTTACATATGAAACCTCATGACATGGAGTTAGCTGCATAGGATTAAATTCTCCTGTTCACAAAAGAGCCTCCTGGGGAGGATCTGTTTCAGTGACATGGGTCATTGTACTCGGATTGTGGATTGTTGCTCATAATCACTGTATGTCTGGTCCTGGCTTATTTATTACAAGCCACTGTCACACTGCTTGGTGCAGTGTAACCAGGAAAGTAGAAAAAAAAATGTTTCATTGGGAGAAAAGGGGCAGGAACTGACTGGGTATGTGGTGGCAACAATATCTTGATCAATGAACCATGTCACTATATAGAAAAGTTCCAGCAGAATAAATAACAGCCAAATATTATATTAAATTGTTCCTGAGAAAAATAGTCTCAGTGACATTTGCAAGTCACTTGATGTATTGTTGGATCATAGGTTTTCGGACATCATACATGTTCGGACAGCTATGTTTATCGCGATTACCTGGGCGTCACACAGTCATTGTAAATTGTCATATGATGGCTTGTTTTTAAGATATAGAAGCCTTTTAAAACTGAGTGAGATGTTTTACAGTCGCTCATGTGATTAGCAAGAAAAAAAATGAATGTTTCTGAAGTGTTCAAAAACCCATAACAAGGGGATAAATAGCTTGAGATCTAGACTAGATCTAGATTCAAGTCTTTGAAAGGTATTTAGAAGTGATACACAATAAAGAAGATAATTTATGGATGTCAACTTCTTTATTAAGAGGATCACAACGTTTCAGAGTATATGCTTACTGCTTCATCAGGCGAAATGTTGTGATCCTCATAATAAAGAAGTTGACATCAATAAATTATCTTCCTTAGATCTTTATTGTTTTGGGGTTTTTTTAAAATAAAAAGTGAAACTTCTAAGTGCGTTAATTCATATTTTGTATGTGAAGGATACCGGTAAGAAAATATGTGACCGAACGGTCATTAATATATTGACAGATTACAAAAAAAACGACATGGGCGTTTTTTTACATTTTGGTTTTACCTGCTTCAGATCGGAAATCACAAACGTCAAGAAATGCGAAACGGTACATAGAATTGAAACATGGCTTACATATGGGGGATCTAAAGTTGTATACAACAGGGTTGTTCACACTTGTTGACAGCGATTCTGTGGGAGCAAACTCTATAATTCACATATCACAAAAATTCTAATTTCCCGCAAATAGGAATGCTTTTGCTTCCGGGAATCGCTTTGCGTCTTCCGGTGATTTGTCAAGCTCAAGACGTATGTAACGGGAAATTTGATTGGCTATGGGTGAATCATGTTACTAAAATTAGCTAGTGACCTCATTCACGCGTACTCGGACCAGTGTTTGAAAATGGCTGTAGGATCTGTTTTGAAGATATGTTACGTATATTTTATTAATCTCAATGTGTCATAGTTATTCCAACAATACTCCGGTACACCAGAAACACTTACATCAACGAGAACAGCCAGTGACAAGTTGGATATGTGTGTGCCGTAGCATCAGGCGGACAACTTCACTAGAACCATGTTGAATCGTCTGTCAGCGACGTAAGTTATGCTGGTTTTGTTTGCAATGAACGCGTGTGTTTTGGCCTAGTTCCTCCGTCTGTCTTTTCTTGTTGCTATAGGGTTCAGTTTATGTAATACACTGTAGATGTCGAGTCGATAAGGTGAATGCATTCTGGTTGTTTATTTGATGTGCCACTTATGCCGGTGACCGGCCACCCCGTTGAATAAATGGCAGTGTTTATACATGTGAGAAGTTTGACCTCTGTCGGTCACACACTCGTACAGTAAGCAACCGGGAACTACCGTGTACCTGTGTGTATTCCACGGTGTTATTTGAGGAGTTATACCAATCAACGCGTGTCCAGGATACTTCACGGGTGTGTATTATGTGACGCTGTTTCATAATCTACAGGTGTCCGGTAGATACATTTCCAGTGCGTTATGACTATCATGTGTCCAGTCATATGGCACACAAGATTTAGGACTGACAACGTGAGTCACCGTGAGATAGGATTATTAAAATATTCCTACTGTTGCGATGAAGTTGATCAATTGTCATTTCTCAGTTAGTTGCAATGTCAGGCAATTATGTTCTATATTTTACACTATATGCCACATACTTATGATACAATATTTGGACATGTTTATGTCAGGGCTATTGCAACACAGGAAGACTTTTGAAATTATAACATACTTTGGCTCCCCAACTTACACATGGAGTTCATTGAAATTCTAAATAACACAACAGTAACATTTGGTATATTTAGTCAAAATATGTGATATATTCAATCACCTTTGTAACAATAATGATTCAGAGGTGTTATGTAATCTGTACCATTCCTTGATTATTCATAGGACAATTAAGGATTGGCCCAAGGGAGTGTTTTTTCATGCTTGAAACTTGTGGATAGGTGTCAGTTATGAGATATGGGTGAAGATGTGAATAAAAGTAAGAAAACCATATTATTTTATAACCTCTTGACAGCTGTTGATATTGACAAAAAGATATATTTAGATCTAGTCAATTAGTGTAGATGTTAAGTGTATGGTAAGTGTATAGCCAAAAAGTGAGTCACTGAAATAGTGAGATTGCAACAATTATTGCACAACGAGCTAATTGATAAGAATGTATGAATCATCAGAATACAATTATTATGATCTTGATTGTGATAATGTTCTTGGTATTAACATGTACATGTAATGATGTTGATGCATCTGAAGGTATTTAGTACTATTTACCATTCCACTATCTAATATGAATAAAGATGTGTTAGTTTTCCTTTAATTTGTCTGTGTAACCAATCAGTGTGAAATGCAACTGGGCAAAAGAACCCTGTGATAGCCCTAGTAAATTGTGTGACTGTTCATGAGGTAAGCCTCCTTGTGATGTTGACCATAGCCAATGATTTTATCAGCAAAGGTTAATTTAAGACATCTATATATTGGGAGGTTTATGCAGATGTTTCTGCTAAAACTTGCTATTCACCATTTTTTTACATTGAAACTTATCAATTATGAATTGATAAAATTAAACATTATAATATATGATTTTAAAAATTAAAAAATAACCCTTTAGATGAATTGTACATAATGTGTTATATGGCAAGAGTTGTAAAACTAAATAGCAACGAATACATACACATTTCTAGCAAACATGTTTTGTGATGCATTCACACACAACAACATGCAAGAAAAAGCTGATAATGCTACTCATTTTACTCTTTGTTTTGAACAAGACAGCATTTTTTGAAACCTTACACTTGCAACAAGAGTGTGCTGAACTGATGATACATGTGGCGGTAATGATGAAGATAGCTGGCATGTTGTAGAGTCAGCCTGTCATTAGTCATGGCCGTAGCCGTACTTCCATAAGCACACATGTATGTCATTGGGTAAGTGGAACAAATCTTATTGGGATGTTTCCTAAATACAACAGTTGGTTTGTCGTTGCCAAGATAAACATTCCATATTTCCTTTCTTGATTCATTCTGGAATTTGAGTCCAGGTGATGTACACCTCCTGTCTCATGGGTGCACTTACAGATGTCTTCACACACAGAATACACATTCTCATGTGAATCATTCATGTGGAGTATTTCTGATAAATGTTTGTCTTGTGTTCAAGATCAGGGTTCTGATGCTGCTAGTCGTTATGATATGTCAGAAGGAAAGCTTTTTGATATTTGTGAATTTCAACAAGTCTATTTGGGTTGGACTAGACATTGATATACTTGTGCCTGTTTCTCAGGCAGGTTGATTTAGGGTCCAGCCTAACCTGTGACCTAAGTCCTTTCAGTTACAGGTTGATCAAAATGTCAATAATGTTAAAGGTAGCTACAAGGAATGACAACAACATTAACTATTCCAAAATGACAAACTATAATTCCAATCCAGGGATTGAATTGTATTGCAAACTCGCTGCTAATGGTTTCATCACTGCCAAGTGGGAGTGAGTTCTATATCAGTCTAATTGCAGATGGTTTGTTTGAAGTCAAGAATAGACCTGGTTTTGCCGCAGTCTGTGGTTGCATCATTCCTGCCAGATGCCAACATACTGTTACACAGATAATGAGATATTGTTATTGAAAATACTCGTTCATAGGATAACATAGTTAATAATTCTGATCTGGAAAGGATTTTGAAAATGTCAAAATCAATCAAAGTTTATTTTCATGCTGATTTTGTATAAACCTTTTTGTCATTTTTAATATGATATGATTTATGATGGCAGCATTTTGAACAGTGTCATTATCACCTAATTAGGCTAAATACGTGTCAGGGTATTTCATTCCCGTGAAGATTCCGGGGTAGAATAGGTCTTCAGCAACCCATACTTGCCGTAAAAGGCGACTATGCTTGTCGTAAAAGGCGACTAACAGGATCGGGTGGTCAGGCTCGCTGACTTGGTTGATGCGTGTCATCGATCCCAATCGCGTAGATCGATGCTCATGATGTCAATCACTGGATTGTCTGGTCCAGACTCGATTATTTACAGACCGCCGTCATATAGCTGGAATATTGCTGAGTGCAGTGTTCAACAACAAACAAACAAGACAGGGTATTTCAAGGCATGAAAGTATGCAATGTGAACTGTACAAATACTGAAACACACAGACCTTGAAGTGAGTGAGTCAGTTTGGTTTCACCCCGCTTTTAGCAATATGCCATCTATATCTCAGACTGAAAATTAGGTCACTGTGGTAAACATTAAAAGAAACACACAGGTCATAACACTGTGTTCAAACCGCATATCCACTGTTGATCAACTATCATTTCGAGGGCTTAGGTCTTTGACATGTAATTCACTGATATAGCTGAAAGTGGGAATTCCATGATGTAATGAATATGTAAATTTCCTCTTCCAAAACACTGATCAACAGTGCATGCAGTGATGACATGCATAATTCTTGCCACAGGCATTGGTAACTGAAGCTCGTTTTGACCATAGTTACATGCTACACTGATCGTTGTTGTTCTGTATAGTTTCATTGAATGTTATTTGGTGGAACTTTGCTTGCTGGCACCCACTAGATCATAGTGCTTTTGGTTACTAATAGACAGATTTATTTCATATGGAGAAAGTAAGTTATTACTAATCCCTATGTCAGAAACCGATTATCAATGTGAATAGCCAGAGCGATAACCAGCACAAGGTACTGTTATGCACTTTGTTGTGATATGGTAGATATATCACGATTCCTGTACTTGGCAAGTTAAGGAAATATTTCCATTGTCAATATACCAAGGAAATAGACAGTAACCCAACTGAAACACATGAAGCAGATTTGTGTAAAGTAATAAAACAATGAGCTAAGACCACTTGTACATACAAGAAGAAAGTAGTATTTTACCATCCAGGTTCATACCATTTTACGACCTGTGAAGATCCAGGGTAGAATAGGTCTTCAGCAACCCATGCTTGCCGTGAAAGGCGACTATGCTTGTCGTAAGAGGCGACTAACAGGATCGAGTGGTCAGACTTGCTGACTTGGTTGATGCATGTCATTGTATCCCAATTGCGTGGATCGATGCTTATGATATTAATCACTGGATTGTCTGGTCTAGACTCGATTATTAACAGACTGCTGTTATATAGCTGGAATATTGCTGTGTGCGGCGTTAAACAACAAACCAACCAAATCAAAACATTTCACATGTCACCCTTGTTTCAAATGGAGCATGTAAGTCAAGGGGCCCTTATCACAACAGTGATAAGTTACCCACAGTTACAGGGGAGAAGACCACAAGGACCACCTATTAATTTCAATCACTGCTTGTATATGGTATAATATATCATTTCATGACCTATGTATACAATACTTGTATCATGTTATATCAATATATAACCTATGGGATACAACATTTGTATCATTTGTTATCAGTTCATGATCTACTGATACAATACTTGTGTTTTGTATCAATTCTTGATCTTAAGATACAATACTTGTGTTGTTTTATATCAATTCATGATCTACAGATACAATACATGTATTTTTTTTGTATAATGTCATGATCTTCCATTACAATACATGTAAAAAATTTTATTAGTTAATGACCTATTGATACAAGACTTGTATTGTTTTGTATAAATTCATGATCTATGGTTCTCATACTTACATCTTTTTGTATTAATTCATGACCTACAGATACAATACATGTATCATGGCACAGAGTATAAGAATGCAATCTTTCATTGCAGTGAGTGAATATTGTGCATTGTATCAGCAATTTTGATATTCAAACAATCACATTCTTCTTGCATTAGGCATCCACCTGCTTTAAATTTGATAAAAATAATAAAATAATTATCTGTGTTGTTTCCCAAACCATGTAGTATGTTGTTAGTTACGACCAGATTTGTATTGTGACATGCACATGCAAATCTAGCAAACTAACTATGCTAGCTTCATGAAAAGGTCATGCAGTCATTCATTGTATGGAGTATGCACCTTTGGTAAGGGGTTTAGCATGTTAGAAATGTCCTTTCTATTCTTACCAAAGATTGTTTCATTGAACAACTGAAGAACATTTGTGGTTTTATATAACCTAAGCATTTTAAATGAACAATTCATTCAATTGCTTCATTCTGAAGTGTAAAGAACTTTCAAATGCTGGAAAAGTTGTCTGTAAAAGTGAATGCAGTGTTTGGTTCTTCAATAGCAAAAAAAGACTTTGCAGCTGTTTTGGGAAGAACTAGTTATCTTCTTAATGTTTTAGGACAGGTCGGGTAGCCTAGTGGTTAAAGCGTTCCCACTTCATGCAAAAGACCCAGGTTTGATTCCCCACGTGGCTACAATGTGTGATGCCCATTTCTGGTGATCTCTACTGTGATATTTCTGGTATAATGCTAAAAGAGGCATGACACCATTCTCACTCACACTTCCTAAATGTATGAACTGAGTAAGGCAATACAAATTAGTGTGATATACTGTGAAATGGTTCATCGGAGGATATGATCTAAAAATGTATCTTCAAGCCTCAATACATTTGCAAATAGGACACTTACAGTGTGAAAAGCACACAGGTTTATACAAGGGGCAACCAGTTATGACTCATGCCCTTGTGATGATATCAGTGATTGTCAGGTCGAGTCAACACCTGGTGATTTTGTAATTTGTAGGAACCTTCCTTGCCCTAGTCATTGTGTCACGGCTGTTTGGAGTTCACTAAGTGATGGATGAAGTCACACAGCCACAAGGAGATCATGAACGCAATGATTTAGCGAGGGATGCTAGATGACATGTTGAACTGAATAGGTGCTGGGGTAGTTTAACTTAATGTGTACATAGGTAAAATGTATCTCACTCACTATGAATAATTGTTAGTTTGTCACATTGACTGTAGGTATCTAAGTGTCTCATCTAAAGATGTCAAGTTCATATGCTCGAATATGTCCGACTTTGAATGCTATCATGTATAGGAATTTGATCGATAGCACAAAGCAGAGATATATTGTCTTCAGGTTTTGTGACATGATAGCACAAAGCAGAGATATATTGTCTTCAGGTTTTGTGACATGGAGGCATGTTTTTGTGTGTGTGAATCATGATTGCCAAACAGTAGCTGATCATGTTTGTGTGTAGGTGTCATTACGAGTGTGAGCTGTGACTCCCGTCAATAATAGCACTTCGTTCATTCCTGATCCTCTTGTGTTCATACAGAATGCTCAACAAATGAGTAATGGCTGCCACATTCTGCTCTCTTTCTTTACACACTGTAGCCAACCTCCCCCATTTTCATGACTATGTGCTCACAACTGGAATGGGGCTGACAGAAGGGGATTCTTTTTTTGTGAATCACAGGGCAGTGTATTGGGATCAGACTCAGGTGTTTGTACCTGTACCTCGCTGGCCAGCTCCTCCCCTTGCCCAATGTTAACGTCGCCATCACATGGAGGGAGCCGTCCTCGCTTGTCACTCATATTCCATACCTCACACATTTCTATGTACTTTTCTGAATCATTTTATTTGGCAATAGTGTGAGATTAGGTTTACAAAGGTCAGGGTTAAAAGTTGGAGAGAGGAGCAGACGGCATAATGCCTTGACATGTTCCAAGGAATCTCAGTGCAAGTATTTCATACGGTATATATGCAGGATTAATATTTGCTCGACTGTTTGCACTCATATGCTGTAGAAGCGTTAAATATCACCTGCAGATAGGATAGGTTGTCATGATTTTAAATATGCTTGAGAGCCAGGTTTAGAATATGTACTGGCTCTACATTATACACCGTTAACATTTGAGTAAGTATTATTATATTTCGTGAGTTTTTTTGTTTTTTTCTTGGTTGAATATTGAATATGTTTTCTATTACTACTAGAGAGTAATGTATGTACTGAATGTACTGAAATATTCTAATGATGTCCTTTCAATGAATCACAACCTGTTTAATAATCACAAAAGGGACTGATTCAGATAAGTGTGATAGAAAAAATATGACTCAGGATTTGTTTAGGCTGATATGTATTGTTACCATAGTAACCTTGCTAATTTAAGAATAAGTTTATTTGTAGAGGACATTGGGTCAGTTGGGTGAAAAAAGCATTCGCTCACTTCCACCTGGGACATTTATATCTGTATTTGTCTCCTGTCATGATGTTGCTGTAATATTCCCAAAAGCGATGTAAAAGCCACCTCACTCACTCACTCTCAAAGTGCCAATCTTACACACAAAAAAGGTTCAGTGTTGTAACATATTCAGTTGTTTTTCAGATTGACCATGCCTGGAGCATGCAGTAAGACAGGCCCCACCCCCCTCCCTGTGGCTCCACCCCAGAGGTTCTACACGACACCCTGGTACGTCGCGGTCAGAAGCATGTGATGGAGGGACAACATACGGACCATGTCAGGAGACGCTTGTGTTCCTATTAAGGGTTTTAAATTCAAAGTTTCTGTGATACATTAAGGATATACTGTTAACGATGGCCCTGATCATGGACACAAGTGAGGTGCCATGTGACCCCTCCATGGTGGACGAGAACGGTAATGGTCTTCCGTGGGGACTTACCGATCATAACGGGCTTGTTGATGTGCTGAAGAAAAGATGTGAGAAGGTAAGCAAAATATTGTGATTTATGTTAATTGTTTTTGTTATGCCCCATACTGTAACAATACACTTCGATAATAATGTGCATATTCAGGGGTAGAAACTAACATTTTTAGTCCACAAATCCTTACAATGATAACATATAGCAAAACTCTTAAAAACAGTGAATTTCTACTAGTCTTTAGACACCTTACCATGCTTACCTATTGGGCAGCTTGGCAAGAACTATAGGACACTGATATTCATTATGACCACAACCACACCCTAAAGCGTGCTGAAAGCGCTACATTAATACCCCGGTCAATGGATCAGTGTGTATAAGATTTTTCATTCTCAGCTCCTTTGGGAGTATACAACCCAAGGTGCTGGGATATGATGTGTCACATGATTGTGATATGATACACAGTATAAACTCATGATTCTGGTCATGATCAGGAGCTCTAATTCAGTGTTTGAATGTAAAAACTGTAGACCAAATCCAGTTTGTAAATGAGAGTCAGTGTATAGCTTGAGAAAAGAAAGTATTCATCTTTGAAATAAGATATAGTTACCTCATGGCAAGTTATGGTTTAAATCAGAGATGCAAATTGGCGCTGGCCTACTTGACCGAATAACTTTGTTTAATATTAATGTTGTCCCAAGGGTTAGAAGAATTTCAGGATTATATACGTCGTCGCTTGAAAATATGTCATGGTTTTAAAGTTGTATCCCTGATTAGATAGACTGGGAATCTTTCAAGTCGCCTATCTCAACTGCCTACTTAGGCAAAGTAAAAGCACTGCATAAGCATCAAAGAAATTAATATGTCTTCTATATGAATGAACATATCTTTGACCAGTCAATCTAATCCTTGTTGGCTAGGTTTTGGTCAATCTTGCTCGTTACCATGGTTACACATTTAATACACTGAAAGAGCCCTATGTGAAAGTTTGAGAAAGCAACTTATGATATTGGATATTTTACTTTGTGCCTTCCAAAAGTATCGTTTTTTCACAGCACTTCTGTCCATTAGACTGCTGATAAATACTTAACGAGTCTTTTATGTGACTAATAAATCATAAAGTTATACAGTATTCATGTTCCTGAGCAAAATGTTGTGGTATCTGATTTGAGATGATTGGCTTATGGGAAGGGCAGTGTTTGAGACTATGAGAGGTCCAGGGCCCACTTGCACAAAGCGGTCTTAGGGCTATGACTATTGTAAGCCTATGTTAAAGTGTGGGAGTTATGATCATCTTAGCGCTAAGATCACTTTGTGCAACTGGGCCCTGCTGTCCTTGAGGTTTGCCGCTCTGGTATTTGAATCAGGGACGCCACAAAATCTTAAACTTTTCAGATTAAAGTTATGACGACCCCTTGACATTCATGCTTAATTTTGAACACTGCAAGGAGAAATTACATCAAATAAGTAGGATTCCTGCATCAAGATGATCCATCATCATATGTATTTGATAATAATGTCTTATGAAATAATGGAATTTTGAAATAATCAGCTTACATTTATGAGCAATATTTATGTGATTGAATGTGACACTAACATCATCCCGTGACATATTGAACTCTGCATCTTTGGCAATAAGTCGCTGCAGCCAAGTCATGACTCACTGACTGAAGCCATGTCAATGTACCGTCATGACTCACTGACTGCAGCCAAGACAATGTACCATCGTGACACTGTCTGCAGCCAAGTCAATGTACCATTATGACTCACTGAAGCAGCCAAGACAATGTACCATCATGACTCACTGAAGCAGCCAAGACAATGTACCATCATGATTTACTGATTGCAGCCAAGACAATGTACCATCATGACTCAATGACTGCAGCCAAGACAAGGTACCATCGTGACTCACTGCCTGCAGCCAACACAATGTAACCATTATGACTCACTGACTGTAGCCAAGACAATGTACCATCATGGTTGGCTGACTGCAGCCAGGACAATGTACCGTCGTGACTCACTGCCTGCAGCCAAGTCAATGTACCCTTATTGCGTGCAGCCAAGACAATGTACCATTATGACACACTGCCTGCAGCCAAGTCAATGTACCATTATTACTCACTGCCTGCAGCCAAGACAATGTACCATTATGACACACAGCCTGCAGCCAAGACAATGTACCATTATGACACACTGCCTGCAGCCAAGACAATGTACCATTATGACACACTGACTGCAGCCAAGACAATGTACCATCAGGAGTATACTATTCTAAGTCACTGATCACAGGTAATTCATAGCACTTTTAATCGATGACAGGTATTTTTTTCCTAATTTCCGAATCATATGTTAATGTGAGTAATATTAAACCAGCGTTATATTCAAATTCTCTTTGTGAGTCTGCATGTCAGATCAACGACAGCCAAAGAAGCATGGAGACGCTCAAATTTGCCTTGGCACTCTACAGGTACCTTATTGGTCAATTCCATCATGTTTGCTGCAGTTTAGTCAATTAGCGCTATTCTAACAGCTTAGCAGAGTCATCTGTACTTGGGCACTTGCTGTGAGCAAAGGCAGTCGTAGAAAGCAATGCAGCAGCCAAGATTGGTCAAAACAACTTGTGATTTTTCACAGTTTTGAAAAATAATTATATCGCATTGTAAAGTTCCATGAAGAAACAAAACAGAAAACATGAAATTTCTTAAAGTTAAACAATAACAAAAGGTGTGAGGAAAAACATCTGAAGTGAAATATTGAATCATTAGGAATTATTTTACCTCATAATGTATAACAAAATAAGTATTCCATCCCCTTGTTATTGTGCAAAAATGGTTTCATTTGATTGAAACTTGTGCAAAAACTAAAAGTACGGATTTATATCAGTAAGAAATTGAATTAGTTGTACAAGAAATGTTCTTTATTGTCAAGTTGATAGCAACACATACTTAAGACATAAATCAATAGATAACAGTGATCATATTCATGGTGTGGCAGGCTTGTGGGAGCACATGATTCATGCAGTAACTTTCACATTTCTCCCCACCAAAACAACTGCAAATGAGTTACCGGCAGTTATGCGAATTCACAATGACTATGAAGATTGTTTGGCTGACGGGGCAAAAAGTATCCGTCATGTCTAAAATTGGTTTATCTCTTCATTCTAGGGAAACACTGACTGTACCAGCAGTGTAGGGATGAATAACACGCTAAGATTAGTGATAGTAGACAACCACAGGAATGTTAGTAGCCCAGGCTGGTGCTGTGTGATGTCTGAACTCCGGACTCTAGTGTTAGTCACTGGGTAGTACACAGTTGGTGCTGCGACCACCTGGTAGACTTACATGGTTGGCAGCACCTGGGAATTCACTCTGGGTTAAGTTACCCCATTACCCACATCAATAGAAACTAACAGTTTTAGCCCACTAGTCCTTATAATGATAACATAGGGCAAAACCCCTAAAAAGAGCAAATTTCTACTAGTCCTTAGGATCCCTTAAATATTGGGCAGTTTGGCAAGGACTTTAAGACTAGTGCCAATTTCTAATGCTGCCCCAGGGAGGGTCAGTCTATAGGTTGTATACACTGGGTTGAAGGTACCCCGTACCCCAGGGAGGGTCAGTCTTTGGCTGTATTCACTGGGTTTAAGGTACCCCATACCCCAGGGAGGGTCAGCCTATAGGCTGTACTCACTGGGTTTAAGGTACCCCATACCCCAGGGAGGGTCAGCCTATAGGCTGTACTCACTGGGTTTAAGGTACCCCGTACCCCAGGGAGGGTCAGTCTATAGGCTGTACTCACTGGGTTTAAGGTACCCCATACCCCAGGGAGGGTCAGTCTATAGGCTGTACTCACTGGGTTTAAGGTACCCCATACCCCAGGGAGGGTCAGCCTATAGGCTGTACTCACTGGGTTTAAGGTACCCCATACCCCAGGGAGGGTCAGTCTATAGGCTGTACTCACTGGGTTTAAGGTACCCCATACCCCAGGGAAGGTCAGCCTATAGGCTGTACTCACTGGGTTTAAGGTACCCCATACCCCAGGGAGGGTCAGTCTATAGGCTGTACTCACTGGGTTTAAGGTACCCCATACCCCAGGGAAGGTCAGCCTATAGGCTGTACTCACTGGGTTTAAGGTACCCCATACCCCAGGGAGGGTCAGTCTATAGGCTGTACTCACTGGGTTTAAGGTACCCCATACCCCAGGGAAGGTCAGTCTATAGGCTGTACTCACTGGGTTTAAGGTACCCCATACCCCAGGGAGGGTCAGTCTATAGGCTGTACTCACTGGGTTTAAGGTACCCCATACCCCAGGGAAGGTCAGTCTATAGGCTGTACTCACTGGGTTTAAGGTACCCCATACCCCAGGGAGGGTCAGTCTATAGGCTGTACTCACTGGGTTTAAGGTACCCCATACCCCAGGGAGGGTCAGTCTATAGGCTGTACTCACTGGGTTTAAGGTACCCCATACCCCAGGGAAGGTCAGTCTATAGGCTGTACTCACTGGGTTTAAGGTACCCCATACCCCAGGGAGGGTCAGTCTATAGGCTGTACTCACTGGGTTTAAGGTACCCCATACCCCAGGGAGGGTCAGTCTATAGGCTGTACTCACTGGGTTTAAGGTACCCCATACCCCAGGGAGGGTCAGTCTATAGGCTGTACTCACTGGGTTTAAGGTACCCCATACCCCAGGGAGGGTCAGTCTATAGGCTGTACTCACTGGGTTTAAGGTACCCCATACCCCAGGGAGGGTCAGTCTATAGGCTGTACTCACTGGGTTTAAGGTACCCCATACCCCAGGGAGGGTCAGTCTATAGGCTGTACTCACTGGGTTTAAGGTACCCCATACCCCAGGGAGGGTCAGTCTATAGGCTGTACTCACTGGGTTTAAGGTACCCCATACCCCAGGGAGGGTCAGTCTATAGGCTGTACTCACTGGGTTTAAGGTACCCCGTACCCCAGGGAGGGTCAGTCTATAGGCTGTACTCACTGGGTTTAAGGTACCCCATACCCCAGGGAGGGTCAGTCTATAGGCTGTACTCACTGGGTTTAAGGTACCCCATACCCCAG